GATACGCCACTCCCTCGAAGTCTCCGCATTGATAGAGAAGGCCATCCAACACGTTCATACAGTTCACAATGGTGAGTGAGAACTTTAAAACCAGAGATGAACCTCAGAGCTCCATGGTATACAGTGTCCAGTGCATGTAAACTTTGAGACGAAGCATGCATGTATAAAACACCACCATAGTCAAGTATAGACATAAAAGTGTCAGCAACCAGCCTCTTTCTAGATTCGAACGAAAGGCAGGATTTGATTCTAAAATAATTTAAAATCCTAATTTAAGTTTTAATCTTTTTGCTAGCTGATGAATATGAAAGGTAAAAGAAAGAGATTCATCTATTAAAATACCAAGATATATGTATTTAGAGACACATTCAATCTTCGTTCCCTGGGAAGTGAGGATTGAAGGCAGATTTGATTTGGATTTCAAATTTGAAAAAAGCATGACTTTTGTTTTTTTAGCATTTAAAACTAGTTTTAAATCATAAAGATTCTGTTGGAGCGTCAAGTAATATTTTAATTGGGGCAGAATTTGAGGTTTCCGCCAGTACTGATGGGGTCTCATGTGGAGCAGGCCCAGCTGTGGTACCTGCGATGCAGAGGCCATGAGGCCCAGCATCTTTTGAAATGACTTGAGAGGGCTAGAGGCTCCAATTTTGAAAGACGCTGCGAGCTGTTGTATGGCCAGTGCACATTCTGGTGCGACTACCACCCTCATGTGGACTGAGTCGAAAACTGCTTCCAGGAACGAAGTTCGTTGGCTGGGAGACAGAGAGCTCTTGGCAAAATTGACCCTGAGTCCCAGGCACTTTAAGTGGAGGAGGGATCTGTGGGATATTAGCTCGGCCTCTGACTGGGCTAAGTTATGCCAATCATCGAGGTAATTCAGAATGCGGACTCCCATCTGCCTCAGAGGGGAGAGGGCCACGTCCATGCACTTTGTAAAATTGCGGGGAGCCAGGGAGGCAGGACCGTGTACTGATACGCCACTCCCTCGAAGTCTCCGCATTGATAGAGAAGGCCATCCAACACGTTCATACAGTTCACAATGGTGAGTGAGAACTTTAAAACCAGAGATGAACCTCAGAGCTCCATGGTATACAGTGTCCAGTGCATGTAAACTTTGAGACGAAGCATGCATGTATAAAACACCACCATAGTCAAGTATAGACATAAAAGTGTCAGCAACCAGCCTCTTTCTAGATTCGAACGAAAGGCAGGATTTGATTCTAAAATAATTTAAAATCCTAATTTAAGTTTTAATCTTTTTGCTAGCTGATGAATATGAAAGGTAAAAGAAAGAGATTCATCTATTAAAATACCAAGATATATGTATTTAGAGACACATTCAATCTTCGTTCCCTGGGAAGTGAGGATTGAAGGCAGATTTGATTTGGATTTCAAATTTGAAAAAAGCATGACTTTTGTTTTTTTAGCATTTAAAACTAGTTTTAAATCATAAAGATTCTGTTGGAGCGTCAATTAATATTTTAATTGATCACTGACAAGGGACTCTAAAACCTTGACCAAAACAGACAATTTTGAGATCGGTCTGTAGTTATTTAAGATAGAAGGGTCACCACCTTTTAACAGGGGAACCACAAAGGCTGATTTCCAGATGGAAGGAATGACATTTGTGTTCAAGCACAGATTAAAAATATTAGTTAAAGGCACTGCAATAAAATTTGCTGCTAGCTTTAAAAAATAAGGATCCAATTGATCAGGGCCTGCAGATTTTGTCGTGTTCAAATGCTTGAGGGCTTTATTTACGTCTGAAGCTATAATAGGACTAAAACTAAAAAACTGACTAGAAGGATCCAAACCAACAATCTCCACTGTAGAGGAACACCCATATTGAGTATTAAGTGACTCAAATAAAAATCCTGAGGCTATGAAATGTTCATTGAAACAGTCAAGTATTTTGGTCTTGTCCGTGAGTTTTTGAGAGTCTATCATATTGCTTGAAGGAAATTCCTGGCCTTTACTGTTTTCTGATAACGATTTGATAGTTTTCCAAAATTTTGATGGGTTATTTAGGTTATACTTATTAACTATATTGGTGAACCCCTCATGAAAGAGGTTCCAGGCACTATCAACATCTGCACTAATATTAATTTTTTCCCAATCATAATTCGATAACTCGTAAAATAATTCTTGTTCTGAGAAATGCTTCATGTTATGCTTGACTATAATGTGTGGTTTAATTTGAGGTATTTTAGTATTTCTAACTGTTGCTATGACACAGTGGTCACTAATGTCGTTTGCAAATATGGAAGCTGTTGAGTACTTATGAGGAACGTTAGTTAGAATCACACCTATTAGCGATGATTTTTCCGGGTTTTTGAAATTTAGCCGTGTGGGACTGTCAACAATCTGAAAGAGATTTAATGAATCACAATAAGCTCTAAAATCATCAGATACTGGTTGTAACCAGTTCCAATTTAGGTCTCCGAAGGCTACTAATTCCTTAGAGTTCAAATCAGAAAGGAGTTGCATTAAGGAGGGCAGAGCACCGCTAACAGCTGAAGTAGTCGTATAACAACCAACGACCGTTATACAAAGTGATTTAGAAACTTTAAGCTCCAAGGCAAAAAATTCAAACTGTTTAACTACCGACATTGATAACAGTACATTAACTTGATACTGGTTTTTGATGTAAATTGCTACACCCCCACCTCTATTAGGGCAGTCGGTCCTTAAAACTGGGTTTGGCTGCACATTTCCTGACATCAACAGTAATAAAGCAATTAAACATTTTAGCTTAAATTATTTCTTGTACGATTCTTTGCTTCTCCGACCAAAATTGGAATCTAGGTACACAGAGGAGATAGTGGTAAAATTGTCACATAACGTCATAATACTAGACAAACAGACCAAGTCAACAGTATCAGAGGGGAAAAATAGGGGCAGAGGGAGTGAGGCGACATTAAGTGAACAACCAAATGAGCACGTGCCTTTATATGATTCACATAGTATTGGGAGCACTGGACTGGAATAGCAATTCCAGTAGTTGGTGCCCCCAGAGATAAATAAGAACAAAGAAAAAGTCAAACAGAAAAAGGCAAGGAACAACCACTTCTTTCTCTCCATGCCCATCGCACCACCCAGACGTAGAAAGACAAAATATTACATAGGACACGGGCATCCAAAAGAAAAAACAGGCCTAGGTATAATAACAAAGTCCAGGTCAGCGACGGAAAAATCCAGTACGGGTTATCCGTTTCGCAGCGGCGACTGATGATGTTGCGTTTCGTCACTCGTAAACAGGAAGCCCAGCGAGTGAGGCAATGCGGGCAAGAAAGTCAAAATCAAGGCCAGCCGCCTCTAAAACATCAGGCTATATCTCAAAAACCAGCAGCAAGAACAAGAAAAGAAAAAGCACTTTCCTTCATCATGAAGAGACCAGACCCATCAAACTCAGCGACACGTCCGCACTCGAGATCCAACAGGTAAGCATGCCCCAGGCACCGACCAGTCAACTCGAGCCAGATCACCCAGAAACGGCGAAAAAGCAGACCACAGCTCCAGGTAAATTTCCATACCAGCTTGATGGTCGTAATCACTTGTTCAGACTGGAATTATTCGGATACCGTGCGTTTTTAAAATGCACTGCTAAAACTAGCGCAGTGCCAGTTCACTGAGAATGTTAGTCTCGACTTAAACTATACGGATTTGCACTATAAAACAACCATCGAGTGTGATGAATTCCGACTCTATATTATAGTTATATTTTACAAACTTTCACAAAATGAATAGTTGGCAAATATCCCATGAACAAACAAACATCAACCACTCAATCACGCACAGACAGAAAGACATGCCACCATCTTGAGCATCTAAAAATTACTTGTGGCCATTGCAGAGCTGGAGCGCTTAAGCAGGTAGTGCCGCATTTCCTGGGACAACTTCTGTGCTGCTGTAAAAACCGAGTAGGGAGCGCGCCACGATTTCGTGAGCTCATCGTAGACTTCCGGGAGAAACGGGGAGGCTCGTTGACGATGGGCCTGGCGGCGCCCCGGTAGGAGCCATTCATCCAGATGGCTACGAGTGGGCTCCTCCGGCGTAGACCACTCCAGTCTCAGCTCTTCGACCGCTTTAGAGAGGACACGGAAAAGTTCCGCGTGCATCGATGGGATCGGCAGACGGTAAAGGGGCGGGGTCGATAGTAGAGCCCGACATCTCCTCCACATCTGACGCTATTAGAGACATGCTGTCATCTAATAGTTCGTCTTCCATCACACCGAATGAGACCATTTTGCTTGCATCAGCCGAGGGACGCTGGTCTGAGTGTTCAAAGAGGACGGGAGAACCCTCTCTGCTTGGCAAGGGCGAGGCACGCGGGATCTGGGCCGGCGTGAGCTTGCTCATAGCCAATCGCTCAGTCCCTTTGCTCCGCTGTTTTTTCCTCACAGGTCCCTGGGAGGTAGAAAAAGGGGGGTTGCGAGGTACGGAGTCGCTCTCTGAAAAGAAAGTGATCTGAGCGCGCAGAGAGGCGAGACTCATGTTCACGCAGTGTGAACACTCCATCTCGGTCAGAGCGGCTTCTGCGTGGGACTTGCCCAAACAGGAAACGCACTCTGAGTGGCGTTTGAAACAACGCCGCTGCTCATTTAGTAGCGAAAATTAGCTTTTTTAGACTCACCGGATGGCGGTAGGGGACGAGCTGACGGCTGCGCCGAACACTGAAGGCGGCTCGTAGAGTGGGCGGGAACAGCAGAGAGAGAGAGGTGCAGAGGAAAAGGCAGCTTCTGTCCGCAGCGAGGCATGTCAACGGCGAGTGCTTCAAGTCCCGTAGATCAGTGAAGGGAAGATCGTCATCGCTGAAGGAGAATTGATCTGAGATCCTATAGTGAAATGCCCGCTTATATAGCTTATATATATTCTGCTCCGCTGCCGAGCCATTGGTTCGTTTTTTATTTACTGCACGAACCAATGGCCGTGCAGTTACACTGCGTGATTGTAAAGGCTTCAGTCCTTGGAGAAAAATAAGTTTTCCCCATAAACGTCTAGCGACGCAGTATGAGTGAAGTATTGAAAGTCTTTAAAGTTTTACCTTTACCAGATATCTTTTCAAACTCCTGTCTGCAAAAATCCTCCAGTTTTTGTCTCAGCTGAGAGACTGATTGTTCTACATCATCATAGGAACCGAAAGTTATGCTGGGAACATCTGGAGATCCAGGAGGGTCAGAGAGAGATGGAAAACTCTACACAGACACAAAGACAAACAACCAGAGAATAAAATTGGGATAGAAGAAATTAAAAACTAAAATAAGTTTACTAAAATAAGTATAAGCTCTCTGTAATGAAATGACTACAGGTCATGGTGCTACCCAGTGAAAATTTCATAGCGGATGAAAACCCAAATTTCCTGTGGCTAACTTTACACAATAATTACAAAATTTGTCTAATTTTTAAACACATTCTTTTTTTTAACAAAAAACTTTATTTAAGGAACTATTATTTATAAGCTGTTTGCCTTGTGGGGTCTTATGAAATGGCCCCACAATGTCAAAAATTTAAAGTTTTACTGTCTTTGTGGGGACATCTGGTCCTCACCAGGGGCGCCTGCAAGATTTCTTCCGAGTGATTAAAGTTAATTTAGAAAAAGTTTGGAGCATTTTTTGTTTCGTTAAATGTAAATGTTTTTTTTTTATCATAGCCTGTATGTTTGATCAATTTAGCCTTCTCAAATCATCATGACTTGCCTAAAATAAAATCTATAGATATAAAACAGTTCAAGCATATCACAATGTTAGTTTAAATGTTTAACCTAGATAAATGTGCGCTGCTAGACGCTTATCCAATCGTTTGTGCGGAGAGTGGAAGCTGAAGAGCGCTCTGCAGGACATGGAGGCGCCAGCGCCATCACTTGCATTTTATTCTAACTGTGGAAACAACTTAAAATACGCAGTCATTTTTGCTCATAAAGGTAAGTATAATACATCATTTTAAACTGTAAAGGGTCTATTTTTATTTGTGTGTACTCAATATCAACAAGAAGTTGTGCTTTTATAAAATAAAGAAAACAAACGCTTTCTGCCGTCTCGGGCTTGAACAGGAGCACTTCACAATGATGAACCTAAACTCAGCGAATTGTCTCACAGGCATGATAAAAATATATAAAAAGCTTTACATTACTACTTTAAAACGAAATAATTCAAATCGAAAATAGAAACTATTTCATTATGTAATCCCTAAAGTGCACTTCTCTCTAAAGGCACATCCAATGAGGAGATGGCGAGTAATTTTTTTCCACCATAATTGATGGATGTCTAAAATATAAAAAATAATAAAAAGCCTAAAACAGGCCCGATTATAATTAGCATTTTATTTTATAATTCTGTACATTTAAAAAATAAAACACAAATTATAATGGCATATGTAAAACATATTTTCAGATTTGTATGTTGCTCTGTTCTGAATACCTTAAAATTTAAAGGATTTGCTGCAATGCAATTTTGTCTGATATGTGATTTATGCATTAGCCTATTTTTTAATCCATGCAGCAAGTGCTTTAAAAACAGCTTTAAAAATTACTTTATTGGATTCCAGATGCTTTTAAAGTAATTTTCACTATAAATTTTACGGGTAGCTTGAATGTAAAACATTTTCATGAATTCGTTGTATTCCCATTTGTAAAATAGCCTACAAATTAATTGTTGTAGGCTAAGTTAACCCGATCTCATGAAAGCGCGTATAGCATGATTTTCTGCTTCTATTTGGCGTAATATTTCTATGCAGAAATTGACTTTGGCATGCAAAAGACTTATAAATTCATAATTAATGGCGTGGTTGGTTCAGTCGACAGAAATACGGTACACACAGACCCAGGGCCGTTTCTAGCCAATTTGACGTCCTGGGCGAAATCCCTATTGCCCCCCCAATTATATATATAATATATATATAATTCTTTTCAGACACCACTTCACCTTGTCACATTCAAATTGGTTGTCATCGTAACATCACTAATTTGTGGAGATTCAGTGCATTGAGTTCCACAAATCTGAATGCATTATTTGTAAATTGACTGTTAAGATAAACATTTTGCAGATGCCTGTATAGCCCTATGTAACAATCCCTAGTGGCTAAGACATTGCACATAATTTACACACATAAATTAATTTTATTACATTTTGATTTGGATACTATATACTATACTACTACATATTGTTTAGATATTATCAATGGCTACTTTTTTGTCTTTATCTGTTTTTTGTTCAATTTTTTTGTTGTTGTTTCTTGAAACATTGATTTAAAGTGTCAGTTATTGCATTATTATTTCAGTCAAACCTATAAAACCCCTTTGTTACCCCAAACTGCATATAAAAGCTTTATCAATGGCATAAAAGTAACCAATGCAGCTACTTAATCATTTGCTACTCGTTAACTTCCCCTTTAAATAACGTGACGCTCTGCCCTCTATGACGCTGCTCCCATTAAGCGCTGTTGGAAGTGAATTAATTGATTCAGCATTTCGACACCTCCGTAAGCATGCATTTAACTTGACAAAGCGGTCTAATAAAAGATGTATTGATCTCGTGAATTAGCGAATTTTACTATACAAATATTTTTTAATTGGATGTTAAAGTTTATATGGGAATATTACATGACACGCTGATCCTTTAACAATGCATTGGTGCAAAAAACGCAGACGGGCATCGTCAGATTGACTGTACTCTAGCCTAATAATGTTGGGTGATCCAGTGGGGGTGGCAGTCATATTTCAGGGAGACCATGCCACTCTTTATCACAACCCTGCTAAAAGTGCCAGTACGTGCGCTCATTGGCGCCCCTTCAGCTGGTGGCGCCCTGGGCGACCGCCTAGATCGCCTATGCCTAGAAACGGCCCTGCACAGACCTATAATAACTGCTGAAATGTTTGCGGGGCAGATCTCAGGTCATGGTACACACAGTGCGTACAGCCGTACACCTGCAGGCACCACTGGTCCTCACAATGTAGGTTGCCAAACAACCTAAATAATGCCTTCTGAGGGCATTGAAATGTTTATAGTCTACTCATTTTCAACAGATTTCTTTCAAATAAAAATAACTCTTTATAGTTCTAGTCCTTGATTATGCTTGGTTGAGTTAAATTACTCAAGAAACACATACCTGTGACCTCATTACATCAGTATTACTGCGCCATTACTAGTGAGCGATAATGACAAAAATGACATCTCAATATCTTTGGTGATTTTTGTTGATAATGATAACTAAACAATATTTTGCCGACTGTGTTTTTGTGCTGGTACAGGCCTGCCATGGATAAATAAATGACATTAAAACCACTAGTAGGTGGCAGCAAGTCCCTGTCTTAATGAGTGATTCATTGAATCATTCATTCAATCGATTTGTTCAAAATGGCTGATTCATTTACAAATGAAGCAAGTGACTGGGCTTGTCCAAACACCCACAACACTTGACCACTTGTCTACTTACAAGACTTATATCCTGTGTTTGGCCCAAGTGTTCAAGTGGGCATGAAAACCACTAGTGTGTGTAGAACTGTTCATTAAAACTGCAAGTGCTTACAGAGCTTTACTTTGATTTTCAATACTTTGCATTTTAAAACTTTTAAATGTCTGTTTAGTAGTCTCTATAACAGACGGCACGATTTAGTGTGTGTTAAGGGCACTGCACTTTGCTGTTTTTAAGGGACGTTAAATTATCATTCGTAGAGAATTTTAATATTTCCTTTGCATGATAAGCTTTACATAATACACAACATAATTAATCTAAAGGAGATGGTAAGGGGGGATGATGGTTTTACAGAAGGGATGATTTTTGTCTTTTTTTTTTCAACAAGGGGGATGCCATCCCCCCGCATCCTCAAATTGAGCCCTGGTGCTACCTGAAGGAAATGGATGTGATCACGTGTGTCTGAAAGCTGCTCCAGCTCAGTGTTTCTCTTCCTCAGATCATCAATCTCCTGCTCCAGTCGCTCCATGAGTCCCTCAGCTCGTCTCACTGCAGTCTTCTCTCGAGCTCTGATCATCTGTGTGACCTCAGAGCGTCTTCTCTCAATGGAGCTGATGAGTTCAGTAAAGATCATCTCACTGCTCTCCACTGCTGTCTGTGCAGAGCACTGTAAAACACACATTACAATCAGCTGCTCACAGAGTCTGCTGTGCTTCAGTCTGACTGAAAATCACCCTCAATAACCAACTGAAGAAGAGTCTTAACTAAACCAGCGATGCTGCTTCTCCTCAAAACTCACCTTGTGAGTCTCCACAGCCTCTTTCAGCTCCTGAAGTTTCTTCTCTCGCTCCTGGATTTGCTGCTGGAATTCTCTCCGTGTCTCATCTAATTGTCTCTGTATTGGACAAAACAACAGCACATCACAGAAAAATGAGTGAAACTGAAAGTACAAAATGTTTTTGTGTTTTCATTTCAGAGAACTGGATAATCTTAGCATCTCTCAGTCTGTACCTGCTTCTCTGTTCTCTCTGCTGCAGTTGATCCAATCTCATGATTTTTGTGTTCATCCACCATACAGAGCACACATATACAACTCTGGTCAGTACGGCAGTAAATTTCCAGTAGTTTCTCATGTTTACAGCAGATCATCTCCTGAAGTTGTCCAGTGGCATCCATTAGATGGTGTCTCTTTCCTTTGAAGAGATTCTCATGTTGATCAAAATGATTTTGACAGAAAGAGTTCAGACACACCAGACAGGACTTGATGGCTTTGTGTTTTCTTCCAGTACAGATGTCGCACTCCACATCTCCAGGTCCTGCAGGAACAGCAGTTTGCAGTTCAGTCTTCTTCAGTTGCTCCACCACTTCAGCCAGCATGGTGCTTTTATTTAAAGCAGGTCTTGGACTGAAGGTCTGTCGGCACTGAGGGCAGCTGTAGACTCTCTTCCCATCCTCTTGATCCCAGCAGTTTGTAATGCAGCACTTACAGTAACTGTGTCCACAGGGAATAGTCACTGGATCCTTTAGCAAATCCAGACACACTGGACAGCTGAATTTATCCTGAGAAAACGTGGCTTCCGCCATTTCACTGCATGCACACATGGAGACACAACACAGCTGAACAGCACTTAAGTTTCATTTTCCTTGAAGTGGAGAGCTGATGTAATTTCCTGGTGCTGTGTTTGAGAGACTTGAGCAAAACTGGTGTCTGTGAAGTGCATTAAACTGGCTCTCATTCATAATACTAAGGTCCACCAGATAGCAGTCTCCTAAAGAAATACAGATTGAGTGAGCATAATGCTGCACTATATTGAACTTAAACACACAAAAACCTCAAACTTTTCATGCATTTTATGTAGACTATTTACATTATAGACTAATCGTTTTCAAGGAAGATAAATGTTGCAGTTAATTGTTTGTGGGAAAAATGTGACAGACAGTATATTTCAAATGAATGGGGTATAGAGTTTATGTCTTTATTTTATAAGGGGCTCTAATGGATTTGAAAGAAAATGGAAAATGTCAGGAAAAATAGATTTAGATTTAAGATTCAAGATTAACATATTTAATACATAATATCCCTGTTGAAAAAAACAGCATATGCTGGGATGCTGGTTTAAACTGGTCCTTTGCTGGTTTATGCTGGTCATGTGCTGGCAAAGGACCAGCATAAACCAGCAAAGGACCAGCAAAGGACCAGCATAAACCAGCAAAGGACCAGCAAAGGACCAGCATAAACCAGCAAAGGACCAGCAAAGGACCAGCATAAACCAGCAAAGGACCAGCAAAGGACCAGCATAAACCAGCAAAGGACCAGCAAAGGACCAGCATAAACCAGCAAAGGACCAGCAAAGGACCAGCATAAACCAGCAAAGGACCAGCAAAGGACCAGCATAAACCAGCAAAGGACCAGCAAAGGACCAGCATAAACCAGCAAAGGACCAGCAAAGGACCAGCATAAACCAGCAAAGGACCAGCAAAGGACCAGCATAAACCAGCAAAGGACCAGCAAAGGACCAGCATAAACCAGCAAAGGACCAGCAAAGGACCAGCATAAACCAGCAAAGGACCAGCAAAGGACCAGCATAAACCAGCAAAGGACCAGCAAAGGACCAGCATAAACCAGCAAAGGACCAGCAAAGGACCAGCATAAACCAGCAAAGGACCAGCAAAGGACCAGCATAAACCAGCAAAGGACCAGCAAAGGACCAGCATAAACCAGCAAAGGACCAGCAAAGGACCAGCATAAACCAGCAAAGGACCAGCTTAAACCAGCAAAGGACCAGTTTAAACCAACAAAGGACCAGTTTAAACCAGCATCCCAGCGTCAAAACATACCTAACCAGCATATGCTGTTTTTTTCAACAGGGATATCTAAACATACATGCTTGTTTAGTTAAATCTGGTCAGATTTAATCGTTATTTTTATTTTATTTTTTATTTTTGTAGTAATTTGATGTTCATTCAGCACAAAGTTATGCAAAACAATACAGGAAGACAGTGTTTCTTCTTCCTGTTATCAATGCCTCACACTCCACCCCAGGAGGTGGCGGAAGCTGCTCCTGAAGCTGGTTAAACACAGAAGCTGCGAGCAACGCTTTCAGAAGGATAACAATAATAATGGTAATAATTTTACAATGGAATGCTAGGAGTATATTGGCCAATGGACAGGAGTTTAAACATTTTATTAATGAGCTAGATGAGAGACCAGATGTGGTGTGTATTCAGGAAACCTGGTTGAAACCAAATTTGGATTATGTGATACATGGATATGCAGTAGTTAGGAGAGATAGGAATTATGGAGAGGGTGGAGGAGGATGTGCAGTTTTCGTTAAGATGGGAATTCCATATAGATTACTGGGGAATGGTGATGATCAGGAGTATATAATGGTGGAGGTGTGGGAAGGGAGAGAGGCTATTAGTATTATCAATTACTACAACCCCTGTAAGAAGTTGGAACTAGGTAAGCTACTAAGAATAGCAGGGCAAGACAGACCAAAAGTTATCTGGTGTGCAGATTTCAATGCCCATAGCTCAATATGGGAAAGTATACACACAGATGCAAATGGTAAGGTGATTGAAGAACTGAT